ATTTAGAAATTCGTCTACACACCTGTCTCTATTCTTTTCTTTGAATGGAGACAACGTGGTGAAAGCACAAAGCTGGTTGGCTCCAGATGAACAGAGAAAAGGCAGGAACATTTTTGGTGCTGATTATTATAATTGTTAGAATTATTTTGAAGTTCTGGCAACACAGGAGGGTCTTCTATGTTATACACACTTCACACAGATATTGTCATGTCATACCAGAGTACTATTATCATTGGTGTGGTAAAGTGCATTTTCTCCCAAATCTAAGCAAGGAATTTGTTTCCAAATACTATAGTAGTATGATTATTATAAAGATATAAATCAGGGTAGAGAGATAGCTCAACAGTTAAGATCACTAGCTGCTCCTCTAGAGAATATGAGTTCCATTCCTAGCAGCTATATAGTGGCTCACAAACATCTGTATCTCAAAATTTCAGGGAGTCAGATGCCCTTTTCTGGCCTCCTTAGATACTAGACACACACATGGTACACAGACATACATGCAGGCAAAATACCCATACATATAACATAAAAAAATAAAATGCAAAAAGATATAAATATACATTTTCATTGATACCGCCTTTATTACAAATAAGATTTTAAAATACGTTTCCTAGGTCTGCATAGATATCTCAGTGGTTAAATAACTAGTTGCTCTTACAGAGGAACTAAGTTTAAATTCTAGAACCCACACTCTGTAAGTCCAGTTCAAAGGATACAACACTCTCTTATGGCCTTCATGGGCACTGTACATATGTGGTGCACAGACATTCATGTGGACAAAACATCCACACACATAAAATGACAATAAAAATTAAAATTATTAAAATATATTATCTGAAAATTTCATTTCTTCCTCCATAAATTATTCATTTATACTCTTTATACATTTCTTACTTGGTTGATCATCATCTAACTTATGAATTCTTTAGTGTTCCATATAGTCATGCAAAATTTTTATTGTTCTTATTCCTAATGTGTTGAGCCTTTTATTGTATAACTTCTATGCTTAATGTCAGGCCTTTAGAATCCTTTATTCACAGATTACATAAGTACTCACAGAATACAGAAGCTGTTCCTCTAAACTTTTCTCTGTTTACAGGTTTAAACTTCTTATTCCTTGTGAAATTATTTCTTCATAAAGTGGGAAGTAAAGATATAATCCTAAATTTAGTAAATAGTTACCCAGATACCATCTTTCAATGAATCCACACTTTTGCCATTAACTTTTATGTCAACACATTAGTGGTCGTAATTCTTCACCCATTCAAGTTTGTATGTTTGTCTTAATTCATATAATTTATATAGAAAGTCTTAGTCTTAGCCACCTTGAAGGCTAGTTGATTAATTGACTTTAATATATTGTTTCCTTGATCGCATGATAGGTTATTTATCATATTGCTGTAAAAACAGCTCCATTACTTTACAGACAATGCTATTAATTTATAAATATGTTTTGGAAGAGTAAAAAAAAAAATCTTTTCAAACTTCAATCTTTCCCATTTGGAGCATAGTTGTGGCTTCAGTTACTTGAGACTCACTTAACGCCTGTCAAAATTTTCTTTATTTCATGTAGTTTATTTATATTTGCCGTTACAATTACTCATAAATAGTGTAGTGTTGTTCCTGAGAATGAGATTTTTCCTGCATATCATTTAAATATTTCTGATGTGTGAAACCAATTTTAATATGAAAATAATCTTAATGTGTTAATATAGTCACTAGCCAAATGACTAAATTTTCTTCTTAGCCTTTTGCAGTTTCCCAGAAAGACAATTACATAGTCTATAAATTATATACATTTTCATATATAGTCTGAATATTGTTAAGTGAATTAATAAGTGATTGGATACACATCAAGTCATACTCAAGTAGGTGAAATAAAATGGACATGTATTCAGAAACATGTGTTTCTATTTTAAAATATTAGTTTAATTTCTTTGTTTTCCCTGTCAAGCTGTGCAAACTTTAGTTCAATGTAACTGGAGATGAAAGTAAAGCAACTTAAGATATGTTCTGTTTCCATGTGGGAGGCAAAGTGCTGGGCACAAGCAATGTACCTATTCTAAGACTGGAGACTTGCAGACAACATATAAAGCTACAGTTCACTGAGTCAATTTAAGAGAGTTATTTCCCATCATGCTCGTGGGTGTCTAACTTCCATAGCACCAATGTGGACGGGGTCTGTCTTTTTCCCATTGTATATTCTTGACATCTTTGCTGAAAATTAATTGACTGTAAATATATTAATTCATTTGTCAGATATTTTCTGTGTTGCATTGAGCTATATGGTTGGTTCCATGCCACAAATATAAAAAGAACACTTACTAGGACAAAATCAATAACTTGGCAAAAAAGTCACCAAAACCCCAAAAGAAAACTTGCCAAGTAAAATATGTAGATAGCAAGTAAGCGTAGGAAAATATTTCCTACTCTGTGTGTTATTAGGGAAATGCAGATTGAAACAATGGCAGATCACCACATGGCTCTTATAAACCAAAACAATAGTGAAAGCCAAGGACAACAGAGCATCAGGAGAGTGAGAACCAGAGCCACCAGAAATAGCATGTAGGTTCTTTCTTACAAACCAAGACATGTCCTTCCTTCATTCCCCGGCATTTACCAAAGGACTTGAAAAGTTGTATCCATGCAAAACCCACAGGTGAGTGTCTATAGCAGCTTTATTCATAACTGGGAGGCATCCAAACCAGCCTACAGTTGCTACCTGAACCAGCCAGTAGTACCTTGAGACAACAAAATATTATTCAAAGCTGAAAATAATTGAGGTGCTGGAAAGAGGGCTCAACAGTTAAACGTATGCATTGTGCTTGCAAGGGATCCTGGTTAGGTTCCCAACAACCACATTGAGAGGCTCACAACTACCACTAAGTACAGTTCCAGGAGAATCTGATACCTCTGGCTTCTGCGAGCATTTTCACTCACACACAGAGATACACACTCACACACAGAGATACACACACACACACACACACACACACACACACAGTAAACAGAAAATACCTCTTTAAATAAGAAAGCAAAGAACAGAAATAAGCAATGGAGCCATGGAAACAAATGGAGGAAATGTAAATGCTGGTGACCAGGTTAATGAAGCCAACTTTAAAAAGACAAAAATATGATACAATAGTAGTTCTTGGCTATAGTGGAAAAAGAGATAAATAAGCAGAGCACAGAAGATTCCAAAGTGAAATTAGCATGGAATTATAATGGTAGAACTATATCAACATACCTTTGTCCCAACTCAGAATATGTGATGCCAGGTGTGTATTTTCATGTAAGCTGTGGACTTTGGATAAAAATGATGTGTCGGTGTGTGAAAAGTATACCATTTGGCAAAGTATGTTGTTCAGGAAAAAGGCTGTGTATATTGGACTTAGCAGTGTATGAAAACATGTGTACCTCCCAGTAAATTTTGATCTGATCCTAAAATTCCTTTAAGAATGTACTATTAGAATGGTTGCATGGATTCTGCCATGGTAGATATGAGATGGGATCCTGAAACTAAAATCTGAATAATCATTCCAGATGATTCTGATACACAGGAATTTTTCATTGTACTTAGAGAAGCATCTAGTTTATTAATTTCAATGGCATTTATAGGATAATGCATATCTTTCTGGATCATAATATTTTAATGGTTCAAGACAGTTTTTCTTCTTTCTTTTATTATTAAGAAATTTTCTATTCATTTTACATACAAACCACAGGTACTCCTTTCCTCCCTCTTCCTGCTCCCCATCCTTCCCCCCAACCCACTCCCATAAATCTAGTCAAAGAGAGAAAAGAGAGATTCTATGAGGAAGGGGCATCAAGATTATGATGGGGAAACGTACAGACACCAAGCCAAACTAGTGGGAACTCATGAACTGTGGCCCAATAGCTGTGGAGCATCCATGGGACTGGACTAGGTCCTCTGTATAGGAAAGACAGATCTGTTTAAGGGCCCCCTGGCAGTGGGATCAGGATCTATCCCTGGTTCATGAGCAGGCTATTTGGAGCCTAATGCCTATGGTGGGACACCTTACACAGCCTTGGTTCAGGGAGAGGGGCTTGGATCTGCTTCAACTGAATGTACCAGGCTCTGCTGACTCCCCATGGGAGGCCTTGCCTTGGAGGAGGTGGGATCATAATATTTTTAACTTTCTCAGTTGCCAAAACTAGACTCAACAAAGTTCAACTGGCGAAAGCCAAAGAATGACAATTATGGTGATCAGAAAGCATGAATATTGTGGAGTCTAATAGAAAATACCACAAGCCACTGCTATATATTCAGTGTAAGATAAGAAAAACATAGCACCATGGTATTAGAAAAGAGAACTGATGAGTAAAACCCAATAAGCTGTATCAAATGTCCTAAAATCTCTCAGTGGGTGAGATTCTCTCTGGGTTTTCTGCACACTGCTTATATCAGGTTGCATGAGCCTCTCCACACTTTATCAGGTTTCTTCTTGGATGTATTGCATCTTACTAACACAAAACAAAGCTAAACAGAGCTTAAAAGGCACCATGTCCATATCCTCATGACACTGCAGTCTCAGAACAGAACAGTGATGACAATGACTGCCATGGAATACCACTCTCCACTCTGTTGTCTGACAGTCTCACTCATCATCATGAACTTGATTATCAATTTAAGTTACAATACTTCCTGTCTTTGCAACTTCCTATTTCATAGCTAGCTAAACAAGGAATGCTCCAGAGAACACTGAGGATACACTCCTTAGTTTTGAATGACAGTTTGCATCTTTGGGTTACATATTCTTAAGTAATGTAGCATTATCTGTCCCAGGAGTGTTTTCCTTGTGGCTGTTTTCTATGTTGTGTGAAGAAACGCTGAAGCGTGCGTTAGCATTCATTTATTAAGAATGGGAGTTGAGGTGGAAAGCTCTGTATGTCCTTCTCTTTGAAATGTTTAACTAGACTTTTTTTTTCTATTCAAATGACTACTTTTGGGAGTTTTTGACAAATTACATAATGCAATGATGTTGGTAACTGTGGTGAAGGATTAACGTTGTTTCTTACCTTCTTAGGGTATTGATGAGCCCTGCTCTGCAGCTGAACTCCCCAGGTAACGTGAGTTCATTCATCTGGAAAGAAACCAACAGTGGCATTGTGATGACGTGGTGCTACACAGCAAACAACGACCACATTGTAAAGCAAGCCCTGCTCACTGCCACTTGAATTTTCAGGGGCATTTCATAAAAGCTCTGTTTATTTTGCTTTAATGTATAATTATTGAAATTTTCATAAGGATTTTACCATGGCACTCAGCATGGCATCAAGCCCAGGAGGAATTACGAGTTTATTGCAGCCCAGACTGACAGCCAACTCATAAAAATGAATGACATTCCATATTGTAACATCTCATCGGCCGTTGAGGATGGTAATAGCTTACTTCATCTTTCTTTTCAGTATAATGAGCCAGACAATGTAACAATATGTAGCACAAAAAGGAATATTAAGAAAACCAAAAGTGATGCAAAAAAGTAACATTTAACAACACTCAGACATGATTTGGGTTAAAATTTTCAATTAAAACATTTAAAGCAAAGCTTTATTGGGCATGACCAATCACTATTTTGATGAATATTTACCTGAAGACACATTTAACTCCTCAGCCTCTGTTTCTAAAATGCTCCACACTACTCGTTTAGTTCAGTGTTGTGAAATTCATCAGATTAAATGGGATCACAGCAGGTCTCTGTATTGAAAGGATTGTAAAGATGACTTTTGATCATATAACTGAGGCGGTGTTTATCTTCATGAAAACTGTTCTCTCACCCATTAACCTTGAACTCCCACCTTTTCAAATTTTTTTTTTTTATTACGGATTGAGAGTTTTCAAAATATAGTTAGTTGACATGCTGGCACAGGAAAAAATATACATATAATGTAAACATTTAGCTATATGCTCATAAAGACATTTCTTCATAGAACAAGCTTACCAGATAGGTGAGGAAAGTCCAGAAGAAAACAATTTCCTGATAAGAGCATTCCCCAGGCTATCTGCCAACTGGTCCACATTTATTTTCTATTGCTCAGAGACATCTCCTCCTTTTAAAAGTATCTTTTAATTTTTTTAAATGAAAGTATGAGAGAATTCTCAAAAGATGGAACAGAAATGTCTGAAAAACACTTGAAAAAATAATCACAACATCAGATGCAAATCAAAATTACTTTGAGATTTCATCTCACACTGGCCAGAATGGCCAAGGTCAGTAAAACAATTAACAGCATATACTAGTGAGGATTGGGGGAAAGGAAAATACTCATCCACTGCTTGTGGGAGTCCAAACTTGTTCAGCCACTATGGAAATCAGTGTGAAGGCTCCTTTAAGAAGCTGAAAATTGATCTACCACAAAACCCAGCTATTATATTCCTCAGCATATACTCAAAGATCCTACTTCAGAGGTACTTACTCAAACATGTTCATTTTCTGTAGGCATAAAAGCAAGAAAATGGAAACAGCCTCAATGTCTACCAACTGATAGATGAATAGCAAAACTGTGGTACATTTGCACAATGGAATATTATTTAGCTGTTAAGAGAAATGAAATTGTAAAATTTGCAATTAAATGTATGAAGTTAGAAACAACTTCCCTCAGTGAAGTAACTCCAAAAAATAAGTATTGCATCATTTCTCTTGTATGTGAAAGCTTTTAAGCTTTCAATATGTATGTTAAATTCTGATTGCCACAGAGGTTATGTACCTAGTAAGAGTGACCAGGGTGTTGCAGGTGATCTTTCAAGGAAGGAGAAGTAGAATATAGTGCTATGGGGAAATAAATAGGAAACACAAATAAGATGATTAAATTGGGAGGGGGCTGGGAAAGAAGAGTAAATGAGGGAATATGGGGAAGGTCAGCTAACACTAAAAGGTGTTGAAAAGTCATGTGTAAACCTGCTTCTGTAGAAATGTTTACAAAATGATAGTGACTAGATTACATTTTATTGAGTCACTAGACAAAGGAGTCCCACAAATCCCCCACCCCCAAATACCATAAGCTGTTGCCAAATCTATTGGTTGCACTCCACAACCTGATGGTAAGACCCTGTTACTGAAGACACAACTTACTTATGACATCATCAAACATGGAGAAATTGAGCTGGTGCTTAACTAGAAGCTTTAGACCTACTGACACCTATTAACTAGCATTCACAGTGCTGGAAAGCACTCTACCTACCACCAGCTGGGAACTATAACCACCAACCCTGTTGCAAACCCTGTAACAGACAACAGTGACATGCCTTCAGTACTCACTGGCGTAGTAAGACAAAAATGTTATGGGAGTAACCAACCACTTAAAGCCCACTCCATGATGTGGAACTCATATATGACACTGCTAAAGTAGGCAAGGACCTGAGATTAGATAGGTTATGAGTCCCAGAGTGAAAAACTACTAATATTATTCTGCTCAATGAACATAACAATAAAATGATGCCTAACAAAATATTGCCTTGCCCAACCCTTATTAGAGAAACTTCCTGTAGTAGATGGGAATTAACACAGGTACCCTCAATAATGTAGGTCTAAAGAATGTGCAGAAAGTGAGAGACTTTGGATCACTCATTCCTAAATGGTATGTCTTTATCAAATTCCTCCACTTGGGGTTCAGGGATCTATGTAGAAAAAGATATAGAAAGACTTTAAGAGCCAGAGGTAGTGGATGACTCCAAGGAAACAGTGTCTTCTAAAGACAACAGAGCAGATACACATATATCCACAGAAACTGTGACAGTGTGAAAAAGTCCTGCACAAGTTCAAATCAGACAAAGTCCCAGAACTTAGAAGAAGAGAACAGGAAGTCCCAACCCTAAAAATCCATTTTCCCCAATAAAAAATAAAAAAAAACCTATTAATAAATCTATGTAATTTCTGAGATGACCATTTGGCATTGGATAACCAATTTGTAGGCTCTTTCCCAGGAAGACCATTTATTTGCCATGCTCTCAGCATTCTTTAGCTCTTCATCTAGGGTTGAGGCCCCATGAGATGTTTCCCTTTTATATTGGCATGCTGGTGTCTTCATTGTTCTGGTCTTGTTTAGGTAGTCATGTTGGTGAGACTTCATGGGTGTTGCTTCCCTGGCTTATCAATGACACACAGTCTCACAGCAGATTTCCCATACTTCTGGCTCTAACAATCTTTTACGGGATGATAGATACTGTAGTTCCGTTTTCCTTGATAATAGTTATGTGCCTGTTTGGTTTTATGTATCTATTAGCATGTATTTGTTTTATTAAAGATATTCTAAACTAGAGTATTACTTTCCCGGAAGAAATGGATTAATACTTGCTTTATATTAGCATCATTAAAATAATATTTTTGAAAAAAAAACAGAAAATGTTTTAGATAAATTTTAAAGGAAATCGTGTCACAGCCTCCTTAGAATATTGACTTTGAATTTTCATAGAAAGGGAGAGAAAGAGAGAGTCTGTGGGTAAATATATTTAGTACTCTTTGTAAAATATAATATTACTTATAAACATTAGATGTTGAAAAGGCAAAGCTTCTGGAATGGTTTTCAGCTATGCAGAATGCCTCTTATGATGTGAGTTAGAGGATCATACAGCTTTGGAGCAGAAGTGCTTCCAAGCTTCTGATCTGCCTTACCTGGGTGTTCTTAACAGTATTAGAAAAGATG